CCCAGACGGATTAACCCCCAGTACTCACTTGGAAAGCAGGCTGAATGGACCTGGGAGCCATCTGAAAGGAATTAGAGCAAACTAAATCACTTGCCCCTACCTGGGGTTAAACCCAGGACCTTCTGGTCAGGAGCTAGAAACCCTTGCCATCTGAGCTACCATGGGTCCGGAATGCCTCTACCTGTATGTACAGTACATTATCAAAAATCAGCTTTTTCAAGGAAAAAAGGAAGTATATTTAATTCATTTGTAAATAAATACATCCATTTTTCTACCTTAAGAAACACAGTAAGAAAAGGATAATTTAACCAATGATATCCCTACATGGCCATGAAGTATGAGCGTCATTTTCATGCAATTAGCCAGTTTCATTCTGCTGATGTGTAATCATGCTGGAGTCACTGCAGTCTGAAAACTATGCTGAAAGATCAAACAGATCTGGTCCAGGGCCAGTGTACTGATCTGGCTTGTCCTCACAGATCTACAGATTGCTGGAGCTGATTATCTCATTTTCTGGGCATTTTCTTTCACAGACAGGTCATCACAAATCATACTGAAAAGACAAGGCCTTCAATCATGCTATTGCCATCCATGTCATCTTCAGTGTTTAGGCAGGACTCAAGCTCTTATCCAAGCTGTTCTTGTCTAAATGAAAACAAAGTCTCTTGAAAGGCTTTTTATACAGATTCATTGCACCAAATAGGTGGGTGCTGCACATTGGTGATGGTGATGGAGGGGACTCCCTATTACTGTAGCTGTAAAGGCTTTGCATGGAGTGTCCAGAAAAGTGCTAAATAAGTGATAGAAATTAGCTGAAGCTAGACCCATTGTGAAGTGAGAGTTTTGATTCTGGTGACTTAATTACTATCACATACACAGTGAGGAAAAGTACATCATCACACAATATAGACCCAACATGAAGTCTTAAATGTCAACTCTTTCATAAGCAAATAAAAGTATAAAAAGCATATAAACTAGAAGAGACCATGAAGCCTATCTTTCCCAATTGGTAAATAGAAGTTAATTGAACATAAGGTCAATTCTGACCCAACCATTTCTTAAAAGAAACCAGGATATGGAATTCAAAAATGTGACTAGGAAGCTTGTTCCATCGTCACACAGCCTTTTGGGTTAAATACACTTATTAAAAGAGCTTATTTCTGCTTCCTCTGAAACTCTTATTTCCGTTGTAGTTTTCTCACTCTAGTGAGGCTTGAGTCGAGGCCTAAAATAGAAGGATCTCATCTGCACCATTACTTGCACACCTAGAAATAAAGGAAATGAAAAAAAGGTAACAAAAAGTACTGTATGTCAGAAAGCTTTTATAAGAAGAAGACCACTAAGAAAACTATGCAAGCAGGCAGACACTGAGAAGAAAGATGGATAACAAATCCTGATTAATTGAACATCCAGAGAATTAAAACAGAAAAGACAGAGAAGCCATAGAACAGAGCATTGAAATGAAAAAAAAGGTATTGTAGACTAGCAGGATGGTTGCTGAAAAAGCGACATAGCATGAAAATTAAAGTTGTCTTGTATTAGTTGTACTGTATGTACAGCATTAGCTACTCACCATTTGTGAGACTTTGGTGTTTGCAGTTAAAAGGACTGAAGAATAGTTTGGCGGCTATAAGAAAGTGGCTACGAGTATCACAGTGTTTGTCAAAGGCACTGTAAAAAAGGTGACTAAGTCACTTGCAAGACAGGGTAAAATAGCAACTGCTAAGTATGTTAAGATCTGAGTGCAATAGGAAGTCAGTAGGGTGGTGTGGTAGCACAGTGGTTTGCATTGGTGTTGTAAGGTGTTGGGGCCCTTGGTTCAATTCCCAGGGTGCTATCTGTATGGATTTTAAATTCTGTCCCCTTATAATAATAATAAGCTTGAAATGATTCAAACATCCAAGATATCACGATTCACAGTGTCGAAAGCAGCACTGAGATCAAGAAGAATGAGGATAGAAAGAGAATCAGAATCATAAGTTGTTCTTGTGGGTTTCCTCTGGGTGCTCCAGTTTTCTCCCACAGTCCAAAGACATACTGGCTTGTTAATTGTCTTCTGAGAAATTTGGCCCTCGTGTGAGTGTGTCTGTGTCTGCCCTGCAATGTACTGGCATTCTGTCCAGGCTATGTTCTGTCTTGTGCCAATTGCTTGCTGGGATAAGCCATTAATTTTTTTCAAAAATATTTTGAACTGAAAATCAGATTTAATATTAAAAAATACTTTACCTGCAAAAATCATTCTGATAGTTTTTAGACAAACATTTGAAAACAAATCATAGAAAAGGTCTATACGTCCAAGAGGGATCAAAGATTTATTTCCCTTATTTCACTAGTTTGCTTTAACTCTCTAAATAATTTACTAACATCATTTACTAACTATCCTGCTAGAATAATGGAAAATTACTAACTGCAACTTAAGTGTGAGCTGGCTACACGCCTGGGATGTGAGGGCAGAGTCAGCTTCGGGCAGCCTGACCAGAACTGAGAGTGCCTGATATCTGCTTAAGCCATGATAAACAAAATCTAGTTGTACTGTACATAATGTCTGCTTAAACGATAATTAAAGGAACCCAAGAATATTCTTACAATTCTTACAGTTTATCACGTACTGTACCAAGGCTAGCAGCCTTGGCTTTACACCATATATGGCATGGAATTGTACTGAAACTGTTCTGGGTGGGTTTTCACTTTGTGATTTTATATAAAAAGCGTTCTTATGTATCAATGAGTCGAGTCAGTGCTTCATCGGCTTTGGCTCCAGTATACGGGATATGTAATAAAAGAAACACCTGCTTCATACACACAAGGATTGCGTCTCCTTTTGTTGAACAAAACGAGTTTATATTCTGTCACCTTATAATAATAATAAACTTTTATACAGCACCTTTAAAGGTGGCTTTTCAAAGCGCTTTACAGAAAGACAACAGCAGCAACAACAATAAAAAAATATACACAATATAAACACGATGAGAATTTGTAGATGGTGGTGATAAATACAGTAGGAGCAGAAGGGGTAAATAAAAGTACCAGTTAAGCAAAGGCTCTTCTAAAGAAGAAGGTTTTGAGTCTGGATTTGAAGGAGTTTAGAAAAGGTGACTTTCTGATATCCTTTGGGAGAGAGCTCCAGAGCTTTGAGGCATAACAGGAGATGGCCCTGTCCCCCATTGAGTGTAGAAGGGCATGGGGGACAGTTATGAGACCAGAATTAGAAGAGCGAAGGTTGTGAGATGGGGAGGAGGGCGATAATAGGTGACAGGTACTGAGGATTTTGAAGTCGACACAAAACTTGACAGGAAGCCAGTGCAAGGACTCCAGGATAGGAGTAATGTGATCACTTGCACTAGACCTGGTCAGGATTCTGGCTGCCGAATTTTGACATACTGCAATTTGTTCAGAGTAGATTTAGATACCCCAGCGAGTAGAGCATTACAGTAGTCAATTTGGGAGAACACAAATGTGTTGATCAGCTTTTCAGTCATAGTTAGTGATAATATAGGGCATAGTATGGTGATATTTCTGAGGAGAAAGAAAGATGTTTTGACAATATTCTTTACATGTGGGTTGAATGTCAAGCCTGAATCAAATATCTCCCCAAGGTTTTTCAATTTAGACTGAAGCTCAAGTACAGTACCATCCACAGATAGGGTTACAGCATACAGTTGATAGGGGGTGCCGATAAGCATGACTTCAGTCTTGTCACTGTTAAGATGAAGGACATTTTGAGTCATCCAAGTTTTTACAGAATGTCAGAGATGCAATTAAATAGATTAGAGACAGCTACATTACTGTCAGGTTTAGTATAGATTTATATTTGAGTATCATCAGCATAGAAATGATAGTTCATGGCCATGTGATCTTAAAAACTGACCAAGTGGAAACATGTAAATGCTGAAAAGTAAGGGGCCCAGTATTGAGCCCTGAGGAACACCAGACTTAGCGAGACCAATTTCAGACCTAAATCCGCCAAGGGAAACAATGTGACAGCGATCAGTGAGGTACTGTAAGACTTGAACCATTTGAGAGCAGTGTCAGAAACTCTCAAGACAAGAAAGTAAGATGTCATGGTTAACAGTGTCGAAAGCAGCACTGAGATCAAGAAGAATGAGGATAGAAAGAGAACATCATAAGTTTTTAGAAGTTCTTGTTCCCTTGTTCTTGTGGGTTTCCTCTGGGTGCTCCAGTTTCCTCCCACAGTCCAAAGACATTCTGGCTTGTTAATTGGCTTCAGAAAAATGTGGCCCTGGTGTGAGTGTTTTTGTGTTTGCCCTGTAATGTACTGGCATTCTGTCCAGGGTATATCCTGTCTTGTGCCAGTCGCTTGCTGGGATAAGCCATTAATTTTTTCCCCACATTGTAACAACTGAAAATCTGCTTTAATATTAAAAAAATACTTTACCTGCAAAAATCATTCTGATAGTTTTATTTAGACAAACATTTTAAAACAAATCACAGAAAAGGTCTATATGTCCAGGCACAAATGGAGAGAAAATGTTCAGAGGAGTCCTGGAGAACAAAAGAAATTACAGCTGTAATTTCAACATTTTAATGCCAAATATTACCAGAGAAACTTCATTTTTTATATCTGGTAGAAACAGACTTTCATACTTTGCAGTTGGTTATATGGTCAAACTGTTGGTTAATCAAGTTTTCAGAACATTCATTTTATCACATCAGTTTTGGAATGAAGGTTATATACAGTAGGTATTAGCTTTTTCTATTGCAACAGCTCATTGATGTTTCTACTGTACATTACATTTTTGCCATTTTTGCCAAAGTATTATCAAGTCTTAAGGATTTTTTAAAACAACATAAAAAATGTACATGCATTTATAAATATTAAGAAAATAAGTTCTTTTTTAAATTTTACAACTAATTTACTTCCTATATTTCGTCTTTCAACAAAAATACATAACTTTGAGAATTGAAATAAATATCATTACATGAACTGTGAGTTTTAAAATCATATTTTGACACAATAAATTTATATTGTTTCGATTTTTTTTCATTACAAAAATAAAATGATATTTCAAATACAAAAAAAACAAAACAAAAGCTACATTACAGTATATACAGTTTGAAGCATTCCCCGGAATATATGTTTCCTCTTAAATACTTCTATCATGTTCAAGGTTATGCAGCAAGATTTTCTTTCCAGGGCTTCCCGATCTTTAAAACTGCATGTCCTGACAAGGAATGGGTCTGAATGACACTTCAGAGTTTTCCTCCAGAATGAGATCATATCTGCACAGGGGCGTGCTGGAATGAAAAGAAAATACAATTAAATAGTAAATGTAGTCTATTTACACTGACTGTAATATGCCCATAGATACAAAACTTTAATATGTCCATATATAATTGATGTTCACTATAATAATAGGACGAGAAAAAAAATACAAGACCTTTTTGGAATGACAGATAACCAAAAAGTCCAAATGACACAAAGGAAACACACATTAACAAAAGTGAGAAAAGAAATGTGATGCACACTAAAGTGAGAACAAGAAGGTAAGCACTCCATTTTCCTTCTCCAGGAGCACTGTATATTGCCCTCCATTTGAGTACTCACAAAAATAAGATTAGTTTTCCCATGAGAGTGCTCTGTTTTGGTCCCTTTGGTTTGTTTGACGTGAAACAAGGATTAACACCATGTCCAATGAATGTAATTGTCCAAGACAAGAAGATGGTGGCACAAGACAATATTATTTTCAAGAACATGACGCAGTAGATTTTATTTTTAACTAATTTGTCCTTGCTCATGGAGACAACCTTGGTTAGATTTGCCTTTGTATGCAGAACAAAATCTGGCTTTAATTTATTTTTCTTCTCTATCAGATATCATGACCTAACATATAGTGCAGAAATGGGAGCAACTGAATCTTAAACAATAGTTAACCTAAACCAGTAAAGAAGGGACTTCTGTTTGGAGAAATGTCCAAAATGATTAAATGTTTCAATTTATTCTCACAATCGTTGAATGCGTGGAGTTGGAGATTTATATTTATATTTATGCTGAAAGACACAAATAAGTGTCTGTCACAGTTTTATTGTAAATTCTAGCAACATAACAGGGTTACTAACAACATGTTAGCATTTACTCCATCTATCCTATTTGATTTCTAGTAGCTGATTAATTTGAGGATCTCATTCAAATATTTGTTGAAGGAATTTGCCAGATCAATTTTGACAATATATTATTGCTTGGTAGCTTGTTTCATAAAACTAACACTTGGAGCTTTCTCTTTTAAAGCTTGTGCCCTTTGATTTGTGTTTCAGTGTTAATTTTGAAGATAGCTGGGTTGCTTTATCAGTACCAAAATCAGATTCCCTAGTAGTCTGTGTTCAAGTTAGAAACAGTTCAGTTAATTTAGCCTTTCAGCACAGGACATTCTTTCAAGTCCAGGAATGCATCTGGTCATTCTTCTAATGAACTGCTTTGATTAAGAAGAAAAATAGTGAATTTAACACAGAAATAAGACTTCCGCTTATCATGCAAAACAGAGAGACATTACAAAGCATTGTGATACAGCACATACCATTGTACTGTAATAAGACTGGCCTGTAATGAATAATAAACATAATAGTTTTGCTTTAAAGCTTGTGGCAGGAATAAAGACTTCAGTTTCATTTTAGGTGTAATTGTGGTCATTCAAATGTAGAGTCTAAAATACAATTCTCTGTGTTTTTAGGGAAGTGAAAATAACAGACTTTAGGGCCGAACGTCTTGTTTCCTGAGATGTTAAGTAATGCGGGGGCTTGCAAGGAATGTCTTTCTTTAGTGAACATACTGCCATTTAATTATCTGTTAACGCCTATGTTTGTGAAAACAGTTTGAAGTTGTAGCTGTTTCTGTTTTTCTGGATTGGCATCTATGACCACAGAATTTAGAAAAGAAACAAAAGAAACTTGTTCTAATGAGACTCTTGAGTTCTGCCAAAGTTCTTTCCAGGCAGGTACTGTATACAGTATATGCATTTCTACAAACAAAAATGATACAAGTAATGGCAAATAAATTATTTAGACATTAATAAAAGAAATATGGTCTACTTTAAACTTGTACAAAATTAAATATACGAGCAAAACTCCTCAGCTACTGTATAAAGGGACATACTGTAGAACCAATCAGAGAAATATTAGGAGCTGAAGAGCCTCTAAAAAAGTTATATTTTATGGCAACAGTCATGAGTGTGGTGGTTAAACAAAAGCAGCTGATTCTAACCAGTTACTGAATTCAGAAGTCCGTTTTGCCATCCCATTATAAGAATGTGTATCACTATGAACATGACAATTATAATCAATAATTAATTACCGGTTACTCTTTTCCAAAGGTCTGAGTTTGAACCTGATGACTCTTAGCTTGTATCTTGGTCCAATCATGTTCCCAGTGGAGAACTTCAAAGAGATCTTTTGAATATTCTCGAAGTCTTCATCAAACTGTGCTAGCAGGCGTGTCTCTGTGTACTGCTCAAACTTTGCTGCTTTACTGAAAGACAAATAAAAATATTTCCACATGATCAAAACAAACTGCCCCCCACTGTTTTCAATAGAAAGTTTAATAAAAAATATTTCTTGAAATAACATTTTAAGTTTATTAAAGATTAAGATGTACCGTAAAGATTGCATAAAATCACCTGGTTAGCTCTTAGTTCCTCTCTACAGTATATATTAAAATATACCGAATTTAAATAAATGTGTATTCATCTTAAATCTTTTATTTATTATTAAGATAAGTGAAAACTACAAGAAATTGTTTTAAAACTGTGAAAAGGGGACACTTTTTTTTAAACAAAAGTTTTTTAGAGTCTGGATAAATCAATCGTTTTGTACTGTATATGCTGACACCCAGGCTTCATTCAAGAAATAGTCATCTGAGATCCTCAGTTCAACATGGATGGGTGAAAATAGGGCCACCAAAAATGGCTTCACATGTTAACCTGATACTCAACTGCAGTATATTACTGGAACTTACTGGTCTATTTTGGCCTCTGTGACATTTCTGCCGCTGAATAATTTTATTGTGACGAATCCCCACCGTGTGTTTTGGTTCCATGTAACAATATCCACAAGGTAATTATGCTCTTGAAATAGAAAACATAATTTTCAGTCAATTGTAAGATATACAGTATGATGCAACATGAACACCTAGAGAGACATTACAAGGGAATTTCCCTCAAAGTAGATTTTTTTAAATCTGCTGAAAGATTCTGTAAAAGTACAAATCTGCTGGAGAATACTGTAAATGACTGTTAAAAACAAATGCAAATCTATCATATTTTCACATCAAACACTGTATATATTTATAATATAAGACATACAGTAAGGGATATTATGTAACATTAATTTAGTAAAGGGAAATGATTGCAAATTTCGCACTGGAGCAAAATGCCTTGAAAGTTCGTTCTGCCATTTTAGCAGTATTAGCAGTTTAGTCAGAAATTAGGGTGTAAACGTTTATTTAAAAACTTCAGAAGAGACGGCTTATGATATATAATATATCATATAATATATAAAACTTCATATGTGGAATTGTTGGAAAATATCCACATGAAGTAGGAACTTTTTTAGACATAAAGTCTAAACAAGTGAGAAGATCAATTAAAGACATCAATCAGCACTGGTGATTAAGAGATCATCTGGAATGGAAACCAGTAAAGATAGCAATCCTACAGGAGCTGGGCTGGGAACATACTACAGGGAAGGGAAGTTGAACAAATCAATGCAAAAATAATCAAAATGATTTAACTTACTACAAAATGGATCTTTTGCCGTTGTAGAAAAATATGTTTTTGTTTGGCCAAGTTTTAAAAGAACATCTTTCCACTTATTTACATAATACCCTGAAAAAGGAACAAACCACAAGTAAATGAATATGTTTACACACCTACCTTCAGCATTCTAGAACTGATGCATGCTACGAGCCTATCATTTAATGCAGAAATATAAAACAAAACAAAGTAGCAGTGTTGTATTATAACAATGCTCTATTATAATTGGTGTAGCTGTCTTCATTACCAGGTTTAAAATAACTACAGACATTTATTCTCTTAGTATCCTGATCCATCAATTTTTAGTAAGAGCTTCATCGTTGGTTGGTCCAAGTGAATCAGAGTCCTAGCCAGAGGGTAAAAGGTGGGACTATATCCAGGTGGGACATGCAGACTCCACACAGAAGGTGCCCTAGCCTACAATTGAACCCAGGGATAGGCAGAGCTAACCACCATGTCCATCTATCTCTTTTTAGTATCTATACTGTTCTTAAAAATAGAAGACATGGTTAAACAACTTAATGATATGTGTTTTAAACACTGAAAATAAAAGATTTGGAATAAACATTATAGAGTGAAAAATTGCTAAACATTTTAGGAATAATCATTATTCTAATATTAACCTGCTTATAACTTGTATACTTTGCAGTTTCCAATTCAAGGAGTGAGAGATATTGAAAGAGAATTTGCTCATTAATTACCCAAATATCACTGTTAAATTACAGTTTAAAATACACATTTTAATCTATTTTATTAATATGAAAACACAGAATACTGTATATGTAAATGGGACCTTAAACAAAAAAAAGGGGGAAATGGTAATTCAATAATGTCAAAAGGAACAAAATATCGGACCATACTTTTGCAACTTTGCACAAGCAAAACATAAGTTAACCACCCATCCTTCCCTAAGAACTGGTTTCTACAAATCAATGCAACTATGAGAAATTGAAGGCTGCCTCAATGTTTACCCATCTTCATCAAGTGGATTCATCACAGGACTAGACCTGTGAACAAAAGTCATCATTGTGATCTTGGGAATTATCACTGAGAAGGAGTAGTTATGGAGTCAGCAGCATGGTCATGCCCAAAATCACAGTACTGTACTCTCCCACAATGTGTGTTGGTACCAGTCACCACCTGACTGCATGTGTGACTTAGAGGTTTAGAGTTGTTTTCTTTTGGAACCATTGGTATTGTGTTCTCATGTGTAGATTTAAAATGAATTAACTGGTTCACCAGGTTTTCAGAGGAACAGGAGCATATTCAACAAGTTTGTTTTATTTCCCTACACAATATCTGTAACTTCGTGGTCCTAGATGGTAGAAAACAACTTACAGGTATATGACAAGAGAGCAGAACCTTCATGGTGTCTTTTGAAACAATTAGACCAGTTACTGAATGGGATGGTAAAGTAGCATCCCATGGAACTTTATACAGTAGCCACGAAGGACTAAGTAAAATAGGAGACCCTGGGCAAGTAAGTTTCCCTCAAGATCCTGAAACATGTACAGACCTCTACGATGTCACCAAGAGTGCAAGCATTTCTTAGTAACTAGTTAAAGGGAATGGGATTTTGTCTTCATGAAGAAATGAATCAAAATTTGTGAAAGCTTATTGATACCTGGGAAGGACTGTCAAGAAAGCCAATGTGTTTCCTTCAAATCTCCAGAAATATTTGCAAAGATTGGCGTCATTTGAAGGGAATTGCTTTGCTCTTAGCAAAACTTTAATTAAGGAGTAACTTTAGTTAGGTTAGTTTAACTAAAGAGCAAGGCATTTTTGAGCTGAGGTATAAGCACCTGCACATGGTGTGTATCTAATGTGAATCTAGTTATTTTAGCAGTAGTGCACACAGGTACTTGCTGTGGAAACAGAAGAATAATTGTAAGTATGTTTGTGGTGTGTATATATTGTACCTCTACCACTACTGTATACAATACTGTGAAAAAAAATGTGTTTATTAGGAGGTATTCAGTTAAAGAATACATCTTACCAAAGAGTGGACAGGGTGCAGGATGAAAATCCTTACAATCCAAACATTTTCCGTCAAGAAAATCCGAATATGATGAACAGGGGTAAGCAGTTATGTCACATGTCTTATTTAGTGAGCTCATAAATAGGAAGACTGATCTCTGATGGTCACACACAAAGTATTTTTTACCTGAAACATAAAAAAGTAGAACATTTGAATATTAGTTTTATTAAATATTCCCTACCTGTGGGTGAACAATCCAATACTACATTAGGAACTAACATGTTGTGGCTTGACTGGCAATCTGAACTGACAAAAACGTAGTAGGATTGCTTACAGTTTGTGTGTGGGTTCTGAAGTGCCTTATAAGTAGAAGAATAAAAGAAGATTTACAGAGCTACCAAGGAAATTCATTAAATTTAAGAGACAAACAAAATTGCAAACTTCATTGTTCTAAATAACCTGGCCGGTCAACCATATTCTATCTCAAATATTTTGCAGTGCTCTGCTGACATGGTGTGCTGAATTCCACCTGATTCTATAGCCACGTATTTCCTGAGGATCACATACAATGAGTCCTACAATGCAAGCATGCTTCTGTCAAAACAAAGTAAGACTTGCATGACTGGTCACTTGATATTGAGGAATATTATCACAAAGCTTCTAACATTTTGGAGTCACTTTAAACATTATCTTTAAATGGTTATATCAGAGCAGCCTTTAGTTTCCTTGAATGTATGATCTTAATATAATTGATAGATAATGATTTTTTTTTTATTTTTCAAAGGATCAATTTTTGTTTAAATAGACTTATTTTTAAATGGATAAATTATCGTCAATTCAGACGGGATTCTTTTATTCTGTTGGGAATTTTGCAAGGTCTTATGAATATGAAATTGCTCCTTTAAAAGCTGTAACAGGAAAGGCCACAAGTTCAGAATCCCCAAATCACACACTTGTCTTTACGGGAATGAAGTACAATAACCAGTTCTCGAAAAAAAGCTCACCAGAAAAAATGGTTTTGGGGCAGCCAGGCTGGTCTGCTCCTCCGTTGGCATAGAAATCGATATGACCCAAAGGAAGTCTGAATCCTAGAGCTGAAGGTTAGAAACAACATAGTCTTAAGATTCACTGAAAAAGCAAAAGGTAAACAAAAACATAATGGAAAGAATAATAGATTGGATTTGTCTTGCTTGAAAATATTGTAGATATATGATTTGATATTGACATTGTATTCAGCACATGTACAGTAGTACTTTTGGTTGATGGTAGATAATTAGCACAGCAGTTTCATGAAAGAAGTCAAGGTATTGGCCTCCACATTTGTTCCATATTTCCACAACACTGCTGTTTTTTTTTATTTGGCACTTCAGTGTACCTTCAGCTTTTGTGTTACACTGCAGATTCAGAAAATGTCTTTTGGGTTGATGAACACACAGAGGATAATACTGTTAATGTATGCCTACCTCCTTTTTTCTCCTTTGTTTTTTTTACTGTATTTAGATGTCTTTTGTATTTATTTTATGTATAAATAGGATGGCGCGATGGTGCAATGGTTGGCATATCTCACAGCTCTCGGGCTAAGGTTTCAATTCCAGATCTGGGTAATGTCTGTGTGGAGTTTGTACTGTAAGTTCATGTTTGAGTGGGTTTTCTCCGGATGTTCCATTTTCCTCCCACAATCCGAAAACATACTGGTAGGTTAATTGTCTAATTAGGTGTACATGTGTGCATGTCTGTGTTTGTGCCTGTGTGTCTGCTTTGTATGTCTGTTTGTGCCTTCCAGGGTATATCCTGCTTTGCACTCCATACTTGCCAGGATAGGCAATGGCTTCCCTGTGACCCTGAATTGGAACAAGTAGTTAGAAAATGAAAGAATGGATTGTACAAATGTACAAATATGTTGTTGAAGGTGAAACCCCACTGTTCTCTCTTTTGTTGGATTGTTTTTACTCTGTGTTTATGATAATACAGTAGGTCATAATACGTTGGTCGTGATATCAAGCTATTTTCAGCAGATCGAATTGTAAATCTAAGGATAGGCATGAATTTACTTGGAAAGGACATTTTTCAAGAGAGAATCTTAAAATCTGTTGCAGTGATGCAAAAAGAAAAGTACAGTGAAGTTTGTTTTTCAAATCATTGTGGCTTCCTCCCACAGACACTATAAAAAAGGGTTAGCTCATGTCCTGCATGACCTAGTGCATGATGGCATTCAGCAAATGGGGAAAGAATTACTATATTCCTATTGATGGAAAAACAAAAAAGAACTAATTTTATGTATGACTCTTAACTCTTTACTTGTATTTTTCTTAGCAACTATTTTGTGCTTGCATTTACACTGTTCAATACATTGTTTTAATAAACCCAGCCTGTTTTTACAGCAAAGCTGAATGACTATAGAGTGGTAGACCAAAAAGCAAGGAAGAACTCAAAATACAACAAAATACACAATAGCTGCTAGCAATCTGTCCCTAAAAGAGAAGGCTAATTCTCTTGAATATACAGCAGAGCTACATCTGCAAAAAACTCAAGATCCAAACAAGATTAGAGTTGTTTAACCACATGTGGGCATTTTAATAGATAAGGAAAAGGTTCATAGCAATGTAATTAGTGTCAAAGATAAAATAAAAAGACAGTAATGTAAAATGAGATATGTCATGGTAAAGTTACAATGGTGAAGGTGCCTATCCTAACACTGCAGATGGATGTTCACAAATATGAGCAGCTGCGGAATGTGTGGTGCACAGCTCAAGAAATGTGTAGTAACACAGTGCTCACACAACCCAGCATTAAAGTGTTTTCAGACCAGCCTAAGGTTGCATTACACAACCTAGTGTTACATTCTTTTTAAAGAGACAGCAGGATGTATTAACATGTCCCTAATACAACTATTATTACACCCTGTCTTGCATAACCAGATCCATACCATCCATGTCAGTGTGTAAGACGTCAACAAACTCTGCATCACTGCTGTCCAGTCTCTCCTCTGGGGGCTTCCCAGTGAATAATGGGCCGGCAGGGTCAAGCCCTGAGGAAGGACAAAAAGGAACATTTTAAAGGAATGGCATTTACAGCATGAAGGATGATAATGTAACAAATAGAGGTTATGAAAGTAGTGAATATAAAAATATGACCAAGGGGATTAATAAATAAAATAAACAAATAACATAATCATAATCATTGTAAATGATATGCCAAAAATAACCCATTAGTATAATTAGAGGCACCTGAGTTCTTGTTCTCTGGGTCTCACCTGCACAGCTTTGGTGAAAAAGTAAGAAGTCGGGCAAACTAGGCTAAACAAATGTTTATTAACAATTTGTAGTGCACACAACGACAACACACAACATAAGCACGCAACATACAAGTTACACTATATACTGTACAAATAAAACATTCCGGCAGCCTACATCCCCCCAAAAAACAGACTTCTTCCGGATATTCAAATCTTAAATAACACCTACACAGGCCAACAACTTGAATAAATAAGCCTTCTAAACTAAACAGTATCCGTCCTATAATTAAATCTCTCTCCAGATAAATCTAAATGCTACAAAGTGAATGAGAAACATATCTCCCTATTCTAAAAATGCATCGGCGACCAGGAGAGGCCATTTTTCAAATAATTGAATCGGTCTTTAAAGATGATCTGGACGTGGCATGCGCTTTCTTCTCTCTCCTTGTGTCTTTCTGTCTCTTCCTGTGACCTTCATCTATCTGCTCCTTCTTTCCCCATGTCCCAACTCTGTTTTCTTCTCTCTCTCTCTACCTGCTTGTTGTGTCCTCTTTCCTTCTACTGTTGATAACTCTTAATCATTTACCTATGACTTAATTGGTCAAGATAAACCAGACACTTCCTTTGAATGTGTCTCATACGCAGCACAACTAAATTAACACTTTAATTTCTTTCTTGCTTCTGGGCAGCTTCCAAGAACTTCAGATGTTGACCCTAGACAGGTGTTAACCAGTTTTATCTAAATTCATAAGATTCCTCAACAACCACTTCCAAATACTGTACATAGAGTACACTATTGATAAAAATGTGAACTGGTTAAAAATAATTTTAAATTACTATCAGAATTCATTTGCTCTTTCTTGCCACTGAGGTAAAATTATTTCATTGTGAAATAATGAAACTAATACAAAGAAATTCAAATACAGTATAATTCCATTAATTGAACAGTTTTAGTTTCATTTAATTTTGTCAGTAAATCTGCTATAGTGTTAACAACAAAGAAAGAAATGGTGAAGAAGGTGAGAAGCTTGTGTTGTAGCTCTTTAGGCAGCTGAACAGGTTACACGTTTACCTCCTCACTGACACTACATTGACAGATTAGTACCAGTTGCACTGTGATGTGTGAAAATATTAATTTAATACAAAGACATTTTGCAGCAAGCATCAATCTTTCATGCTTAGGAAATGTGTTTTCACTTGCCTGCACCAGTACTTATTCCCTTGCTAAGAGCTCTTTCAGGAGTTCTCTCTTGTACAGTAGGTTTTGGAAAAGAAAATGAAGCTATCCACCCCTTGTGAATCTTACCAGTGATTCTTCCAATTTTTCCATTCAACATGCTCCCCACAAATCCAGACAGATGAGCTCCCAGACTGACTCCGATCATGTGAATGGAGCTCAGCGATGCTCCATTCTCCTAAATCAACAGGACAATAGACACACAAGGAAAAGGCTGTGTCAATCATTGCCAATTCAGTCTTTGACCACAAAGATGCATGGTTCTGCTGGAAAAGGGACAGTCCTCAGAGAGCCTTTAATGTTCTACATTTTGCACTCATGCAGCACACTGGGTGAGAAACATACCAGTTTCCAAGAATTTGAAATAAACGAGTAAATTGTGTCAAATATGTACAGTAACTTTACCATCCTTGCATCCCTAATTAATGCAACTATTTCTCTCTCAGTAGTGAGACAAAGACACGTGGTAGTAGCTGGAAACTAAATTGGAAAAGTTACTTAAAGTAAGTTCTTATGTAATTAGGTCTAATCTACACTAGCCATAGTTTTGATGTGTTTTTTTCCACACATCTGATGTGCCCATTATAGTCTATGTTGCAATATACACTAGCAGCATGCACAGTGCATCTCAGCATATAAGCCTCTGAATCTTGATCTGTATGCTTCAAATCTATTTTCATGCTTCAGTGCTTGTAAAGAGGAGCATAAAAAGGCATAAATCAGATGCAATGTAAAGATCTTATTTTTCATCATATCAACTCAATTGGAAGTACTAATGCCTCACTAACATCATCCCCCCACACTGTAGGCAAATACTGTACTGTACATACAGTATTAGGCAGCTTGCAGGAGTGCTGCCCACCTCAATTGCCCAATTTCCCTAGAGCTGTCATTTGCAAGCCTGTGGCTGAAGCGAATGACCAGCTCATGAGGTCATGCGCCAAGGTATCAAACCACATCTGGGATCTTGATTTTTTTCCAGTGAAAAGTTATTGTAAAACGTATTGTTGAGGACAAACAGCTCTACACCCCCACCAGTCCTTCATACAATGACAACACAAAACAGGGATATAGAATACATTGCTGATTCACAGGCTGAGTACTGTGTCCAAATACAATTCCATTAATAGAACTGTATCATCAGTTGTATAGAAATTGCAGAAATGTTGTCAAAAACGCGGTTTTGTCAATATCCGTGCTATCATGTTGACAAAAAAGAAAAGAAGAAGTACTAAGGGAGCTTGTGTTACTCTGCACGACAGGCTTAGGAGCAGGCAGCACTTCAGACACAGAACTAGTGTAGATCAGCAGCTGCAAGCAGAATGCACACAATGGAAACCAAGTCATGTTCTTTAGAGTAGAATATACCATTTACAGCTTGGGTGATACAGTATGTGCATCATTTGTTTTCTGTTTCATATAGTACTCCTAAATCCTTAATACAGTACATACTGTAGAACTCGTGAAAAGGTAATATGAAACAGATATTGTATAATCAGTATAAAAATGTGGATATAATAGAGAGAAGTATCACTGGGAAAGTACAGTATAATCGGAAATATAAGTCTTCTTCAGTGATTCATTACTCTTCATGCCCTTGTCATACATCAAAAATCAGTGAATCTTCCTACACTTCAAATGTCCAATTTTTTAGAAACTGGAATATGGCTGAGCTGAGAATGTTAAGACTCGGAAGTGTCATTGATAAACATTTATCTATCCATCCATTTTCGAACCGCTTCTTCCAATTCAGGGACGCAGGGGAGCCAGAGCTCAACCTGGCAAGCAACAGGTGCTAGATAGTGTAGACCCTGGACAGGATGCCAGTCTTTCGCAGGTTAGACAGACACAAACAAGACAATCACCAGTATGTTTTGGACTATGGGAGGAAACCAGAGAATCTGGAGGAAACCCATGTGAACATTGGAAGAACATACAAACTCTACGCAGATAGAACCCCAGGTCCAAAATTGATTCCAGGATCCCTGCACTGCAAAGCAGTAATGCTAACCACTGCACCACAGTGCTGCCCTTATATAGTTATATTCAATATAATTATTCTTCATGTTCTGTGCTTAATTGAATGCAGATAAAACTATATAAAACTATAGAGGTTAATATGGCACAATTGCATCATGTTTTATTAATATTAGGAATTATTCAATGAAAGTTTTAATCATTGAGAATGACTTGATACTTATTTTAAAAGTCACAGTTAGCTTTGAGATTGACAACACATCCACATGGCCTTCTTCAAAACAACTTAAGAAATCAGTGACAAGAGGAATACAGGTTGTAGTCCAATAACAGTCTGAAATAAGACAAGCATCAAATTTCACAATTTTAGAAGCAAATACATCACCTAATGAGCATAGATTTGCCCTTACCTTCATCAGCTTAACAAATTCTGTCAGGTTCTCTGCAGCTTTCTTTGTGTTGGTCACAGCTGTAAAGTAGTTGAGATTTGCAGCCCCTCTATTCCAGTCCACTACAATCACATTCATGTTATCTGAGTTAACTAGCAATTCGACTGTTTTATTTACCCACACTGGAGGGGCACCAGTGGGCCTGTATCCATGGATCAGAAAGGTGGTATTTCTTGACAAATCAAAGGATTTAGAGTGGGAAATGTTTGTATGACTAAGTTCCTCTCCACAAAGCTGGGTTTCTTTGGTGTACAGCAAGAGTCTCACGTGCAGTTTGGTCCCTATAAAAGAGTCGTGGAAATCCAAGTCTGTGATGGTGTCACACTGTATGTCCTTGCCTACAAATGGAAAAAATACAATGGCAAAATTAATCAACGAATGGTAATCATTGTTATTTTAATCATTACAGTATGTACTTCATCAGATCAATAAATAACAAAAGAGTACACTATGAGGCTACTGTATATAATGTATACTAGGGTGAGCACATATCCTTTGAAGTAGCGCAGTCCTCATTCTTTTAAAAAGAAATTCACAGACAAAACCCTTCAAATGTGTTGGCAAAGTCAACGAAAACATTGCATGTCATTTAGAACTATGATGGGCATTTCTAGGTGTAAAACAAACTATTAACACAACTCTAATTTCATTTACCCTGTAATACAATGGTGTGAATTAATATTAAGCAAGTTTTTAAAAAAAATGTAAACAACCATTGATTGGACTGTATTGTTGAAATACTGTCCACTTATATTTTATCTGCTTTTCTTTTTTTCCTAAATGCAACATGTTGCAGGAAGAGATTATCTAGTTTCACATCAATGAAAACAGTTTCTCATGTGTCATGTGTTACATTCACAGAGCTGACAGTTGAGGTTCCAGTTTAAGGTTTTGGGTAAAGGAAATATTTTCTTCTCACCTCATTCTGGTGAAGTCTCAAAACATCAAAACAGCTCGGCTAGATATATTTATGAGCAGATTAACAGAAACCCTTCGTTATGAATGAGCAGTAAACTTGCTTAGCATTTATTTATGTTTTCCATGATTGTACCATATTTTTCTCTGCATTTAATTTCCATTTTCTTATTTTACAAAATACTTTTAATGATTCACTGTGATTTCATACACTTTATGTACTCTAACATTGGCATACACCAGTAAATGTATGTAAAAATATGTAAAGTGACATAATTTGTAAAGTAAAACATCTCCTATCTGTCATGGTGAGCCCTGGTTTAAAATCTTCATCTCAAAGAACTGGATATTTTAGAGGAATAATCATACAGGTTCAGTATGTATAACCCTAGATGATAACCACTACTAATGAAAATGCTGACATATCTTAAACACATTAAGAATGAGGACGGTTCTGAAGTCTCATAAATTGGTACAGTGCTTTTACCCATTACACATTTCCTTTTACCTGTTATAAGTTGAAAACAAATTTACAAATATACAACAAAAACTGAAGTCAATTAGCCTGTGTTTAAGAATCAACTTGAGCAAAATCCAGAAGACACAGTACATCCCCAGTTTGGGAAGCATTGTTTCAGGTGTTCCACTGCAAAGTACAGTATATACCTATTCACAAGGATCCACAGTGGAATCAGAAGTTCATCCTTAAGGGGCTTATTGTTCTGCAGCTCATGTCATTGCATAATAGGTCTTAGCAGTAGGCTTAGTTGTTTGCTTAAGGCTAATAGCAGGTAATTGTAGTGATAATCTTGCTGCTGGCTAGTATCAAATACCCTTCACACAAGAATACCAATGATGTAATACAAATTAGTGCCATTGGAATATAAACCTAAAACATTCTGAACTCCAAACAGTTAAGGTTTTCTTTAATACTCATAATCTGCGTGAAACGTTTTTAGACGTCGATAAAAATAACCTTCTTTGAGCCTTCAAAATCATTAAAGGGGGAGACAAAGTCAATCCTAGAGATTTCTTTTTCAAAATCAACAGTGAAACATGAACCAGAGGATACAAATAGAAACTATGGGAAAATGTAATTACAACGGCGAGCAGGAGGCATTCTTTTTTTATCCAAAGGGTTGTGGGACTAACAAAAAGTCCAACCTTCTTGTTGAAACTCACCCCCTGGTTTATTTCAGGAAAGGCTGATTAGATCCTTGGATCGATTAGCTACTAGGAACCAAAGGAACTAGGTGGACCAAATGGACTCCTTTCATTTGTTAGAGGAGATTATATTTATGTTTTTGATTTTATTTGACATTTCATAGGCTTCAGTCCTTGATTTTATTATACAATATGTGCATATTGTGCAAATTATGTAAATACAACAATGGGATGTAACAAGGATGTAACAAAATTATCAAGCAATTTTAGAATATAAAGATGTTAATGTTCTAAAAACCAGACATCAAATCCCATGAAACTCCAGTCTTGATGCGGTGTGGGTACTCTGTGAGTGTTAGGATTATAGACCCATGTGAAATAAATATTTTAATTTAATGTAATCTATTCATCTACGTAGGTCTTGATAAACACAAACAATGATAATAATTAATGTCCTGACAGCCATAGTGTTAGTAAGCAAACACTAATTTGTCTCATTAGAATCAATTATACATCCATCCATGTTCTAACTTCAATAGGGGGTAACTATCAATAGGGGGTACATGGGAGCCATATCCTATCCTGGCAAGCAACAGATGCAAGAAATAATACACCCTGGCCTGTCCATCACAGAGCAGACATAGGCACAACACTACCAGTATGTCTTTGGACTGTGGGCAGATAGTACCCAAGATCCAGAATTGGCCCAGGGCTCCAGGACAGCAATGCTAACCACTGTACCACTATGCCAACAATAAAGTTGTGTGATGGAAAGTGAAGCCAGAGATGTTTTTGTTCCTGGGATATTTTTATATCTGATATTATTTATTTTTTTTTTACATTGTGAATGAACAAATAACAACAGAATATACAGTACAAAACAAAATACAGAAGGAAATATGCTGTTACTTTTTCTACACTCATATAAACAGTGGCTTGAATAAAAAAAGTGCCACATTTTCTTCCAGATACAACTTCAGCATTTAAACTCTGGAACAATTAATTTATTATATAACAAAGTTGTGAACTTTAAAAAGCACATTCCAGATTTGTAGAAAATAGGATCCGTAGTTTAGAATGATTACATAGATAGAATAGAATGACTACTGGTAAATAGACTGATTTTGGTTTTGCCTATAACAAACATTTGTAACATTCATATATTTTTCCCTAACCAAAGATTACTTAGTGGACCACAATAACATGGATTTGTTAGAGATGGATAATGCAGAAGTAGAATCCATTTTTAATTGTATATATTTTTTAGAAAGCACATTTCTGTTGGAATATCATTTTCATAAAATATTCATTTAAAAAACAATATGAATATATATGATTTGAAGACACGTTAATAGTGAAACTAAATGTCCATATCCCTTTTCTTTGTTTTTCTTAACTTATATTTAGAAGCTGTAAGGTTATTGTGCTTTCCAATGCGCATTGCTCCTTATGGTCTCTATTCTTGGAATTCCCCTTGTTACTTTTAAACAGATTCCAGACACAATAATCCATGATTTGCATCCTAGATCCTGGGTCAACATCCAAGATTTGTTCCCTTCCTTGATACACTTACTAGTGCAGTGGAAGGAATGCTGTGTGCACAATTTAGAGCACATATTTTTTTATTTGATATCAAACCTTCAAGGCTGTTATGTTAAGATCAGCTTGTTGATGTTACGAGAAAAGGATGACATTTAAACAAAACAGTCATGAGCTTTAAAGGTTTTTTGTGTGCCTTAATTAGTCCACACTTTCAAAATTGGATCATGCTTCTAAATTAAGAAACAAGTCGTGTTGATCCACACTGCATGCAGTTCTCTCACTGATGCAAAATTTAATGTTAATAAATTGTGTTATACTTTGGGATTGCATTAAATTAACTCTTTTTAAATCAACTCAAGACTCAATTTTTGGGCAAAATGGGTATTGTCTCAGCCTTCTGGATGTTTCACTGTTATTATCCTTTTTCATTCACTCATACATTCTTAACCTCTGATCCCTTTATATAAGAAAGAGGCTACTACATGGAAATCCACTGAACATTTGCAGTGAAAATTGGATTTCACATTTTAGCTTCTTTATTATGTTTTCTTCAAAAATCAGCAGCAGGCATAACACACAGGAAAAAAGATCAAACATAGTTTTATAGAACTAGAAAATTTGAATACCTATCTAGTCTCTTCTAAATTACTTTTTTTTTGTTTTTTACTTGTGTTGCTCTTTATGTAGAACTTTGAAAATATCCAAATTCGACACACTTTGTTAAACACAAAACTCAAACACAAAATAAATGAGACTTACCTTCACAGAAGACAAAAGTGCCACAGAACACCAATATCCACCAGTGGAACATCCTGCCTTGTGGTGGAAACCTAAACAAACAGAGAGGCTTTCAGCACTAAAGCACAGCCTGCAAGCACGCAGTGACCCAGTGAACACTCATCAATATGTAGTTAAGTGCCAAGCAGAACCTGAGGTCTCAGCTGCTTCTGAGGATGAGGGTAAAAGGATTATTGCAAGTTAATTCGAGTTGAAAGTATCTCCAGAATGTGATTTCTCCAGCTTGAACAAATGGAACAATAATCACACACCTACAGTACGTGAATGCTTTACATTTATGATAATGAGTAAGAAGTTGTACTTGGCTTTTGGTAATGTATTAAAGCTATTTTAAGGATCCAGTGGTAGGCCTAATCTGGAGTTCTGGGTGTTATTTTAACTTTGACACTTTAATGAAGTTGTACAGAACAAGCATTAGGGTGTAACCTGATTGATTGGCCTTCCACATCAGTATGGACCACTTTTATGTGTGAGCAGCCAATACATTCAAAGCTTTTGAATTTGAAATAATAATACATAATTTAAATCACAGCATGACTGTTGTATAATTTACAGACTGTGCTTGAAATCTCCTGAACCTACAAAAAGCCCAGGAAACTACAAATAAAGAAACAATACCTATAGCAATTTTTTAATATATATTATATTTATATATATAAATATATTAATATATATTTTTACTATATATTTTCAGAATTATCCATCAGCAAAGTGTCCCATCAAAGCATTGTCCATATTACAAAAATAATGATTATTTACTATTAGCCAAAGAGTGTGTCACCATCTGCATACTTTGTTTAATGTATCTTTATTATACAAATGCGTCAAATCTTTGTACTATTTTTATAAATGTTTAAATTGTCTTGAACTCTTCTAACCAAAATAGCATCTCAAAAACCTAATGACTGAAGAAAGAATGCAGTATTACTGTATGTACTGTAGTCAGACTTTGGCTGATTGCTGTAAAATAATTACTCAAAAAACTTGTTTTGCAGCATTATTATTTTCTGGTTTTAAATTATTTTTATATATTATTTTGAATGTTCTACTCTGTTTGGTGGCCTAAATGTCTGCTGCAAGGCATATTTCACTGATAATTTCAAACTCAGATTTTGCGGTTTTGGATCTTGGTTATTTTTCAAGGAGTGTCCCAAAAGTCAGTCTTCCTTCCCACATCAATGCCATGTAAAAGAGTTTAAATATCCATTACAATTCAGCGAGTTTGGCACATGTTCTGCTAATGCAGGGGCCGGGAACCTCATAAAATATAGGTCTTCTGCTTCAACTGAACTATTAATAGCACTTGGGAATTGTCTGTGGCTCTCTAAAATATATGTCATTTCAGTGAATTGCATATTATTTTCACAGGATAATTCTAAACAGAAAAATAAGAAAAATGCCAAAATGCTGCTTCTATTCATGAAAGCAGTAAGATTCTGACAGAAATTAAACAAAAAAATCAATACAGTATATGAATACACACATACTGTACATGCATCATTGTGTTTACAGGATTCTGGCACCATTTAAAGTTTTATCTCATTAAAGTAATGCACAAACAAGTAATGTGAGATGTATTGACAGGAGCTTTTACATATTGAATTTCATGAACTTGTGAGCTCTGCACACAAGGAAACAGGGGAATAACACAGTATTTTGTAACATTGTGTGCAGGTTTGAAGTTGTGGGAGCTGCAGTAGGATATGTAGTGTTTGGTCTGAAATAAAGCACACAGTTGTTCAGGAAGTAAGGAAAACACAAGGAAAAAGTAAGTACCTGTGTCAAACAGAACATAATCCATCCATCCATTTTGTTAGTGCTATATCGATTAAAGGGGAACTGCAACACTATTTTTATATTTTGGGGTTAGACATTATATACTATAATGATAGACATTGATGAGTGCATTTCACAATGAAAGTAACATGTAAAACTTCAAATTTACTTCACAAAAAAAGACTACATTTCCAGGTATTACATTGTAAACAAGCAAGCTTGTGAATACATCTTTTTAAATACAATAATAAACATTCCTTACACTTTTCTGGTCTCTCAACTCAAAGCGCTTTACAGGTAATGAGGACTCCCCTCCACCACCATGTGCAGCATCCACCTTGATGATGCAACAGCTGCCAATATGAGCACACTGTACATCAGCTATCAGTGGGGAAGAGAACAGAGTGATGAGGCCAATTCATAGATGGGGATTATTAGGTGGCCATAATTGGTAAGGGTCAATGGGAAATTTGGCCAGGACTCCAGGGTTACACCCCTACTCTTTTCGAGAAATGCGCTGTGATTTTTAATGACTACAGAGAGTCAGGACCTCAGTTTTACGTTTCATCCAAAGGAGGGCGCCTTTTTACAGTATAGTGTCCCTGTCACTATACTGAGGCATTAGGACCACAAACTGACTGCTAGGTGAGCGCCCCCTGCTGGCTCCACTAACACCTCTTCCAGCAGCAACCTTAGTTTTTCCCAGGAGGCCTTCCATTCAGATACTGACAAGGCTCATACCTACTTAGTTTCAGTGGGTTGCTAGTTGTGAGATGTACTGTAGGGTGATATGGCTACTGGCCAAATATTGCTATCGACACTAAGGCGGTTTTGCTAAAAAAACTATTTACTTGTTTCTCACTCTGCATGATCTGAGAAATTGGAACAGCAGTCCTCCTTTAACAGATACAAGGAAGGATACACCATGAAAGAATTACAGTCCTTTGCAGGGCACATGCTGACACAAACCGCATACACTCACACCAGGACCAATTTTCCAGTCAGTGAACCTATCAGTAGGTCTTAGGCCTGTGGGAGGAAACTGAATCATTTGAAGGAAACCCATTTGAACACAAAGATAACATGCAAACTCCATGCAGATAGCACCCCAAGAATTGAACTACAGGCCCCAGCAATGCTAACCACTGCACTTCTCTATACTTTTATATTAAATTTTAATTTTCTTCATGTTTTGTATTAAATTATATTAATTGTATTGGTATTAATACCATATCGTTTATACCTTATATCATGTTGTCTGTGGCTTCAATGGTACTAGCATATCTATCTTAAGTTTGAGTCTAATTAAATTATAGTATAAGACATGAACAGTTTATTAAGTTAATTAATCAGGATTCAAAGTTACTGTAAAGCTTCTCTTGAATTATTTTAAGAAATGTTGTTTTAGTGGTTTTTAAAGTGTGTAATAAGCCCTCTGTGAGTGTAGTGATGATATTCTGACAGAATGGATTCAGTTCTTTGATCTGTCTCATACAGTACATCAGCATTTTTCCTTCCTTAAGGTCTCCTTCTTTTCATCATTATTATTGTACAGGAACAAGTAATAGTTTATTCCATGCTGAAAAGATAACACAACGTTTCAGCCGTGGAGCCTTCTTCAGGTGTGACCTCTTGTTCTTTTGTAGCCTACAAATGATGATGCAGCAACCCAACTGAATTATTATTGTACTACAACCTGCTTTGGGCTTTTACCCCAGCCTCCCCTGGTATTCTCATTTTGTTAAATTATAAAGCACAAACACTTTCTAGTTTACTTAAAATGAAGATTCAAAACTCAGAGAAATTTTACAAAAACGTTTATAACAACGTTTATAAACTGGGGAGCACTTACCCCCAGCGGTAAGTTCTTTTTGGTGGGGTGACATGATAGATTTTTTACAAAGTAAACCATCAAAAATAATAATTACTTCAGCAGCTTTTGAGAATCTAAGGGCTCCTGTCTCCTTAAAGGTTAAAGGTTAAAGGCTCCTTAAAGAACCACTGCTATAATGATACATGAAATATTACACTACATTTCTTTCTTCTGAACTTCCTTTTTAAAAAACCAAATATACTGTATTATCATTCAGATTATTCATATATGTGCACCTCATTGTCCTCACCAAGAAACCTGATCAAAGAGTGATATAGTGTCAGCATCAACAGGGTAAATTATGGAAGAATTCTTTCTACCCTAGTGTTGCTTCGGTTACCAAGAAAGTCTGTTAGCATTCCAACATCTCACCAAAAACAGATGAAGGCTGGAGCAAAATGAATTGTCGAGCTTGGCCTTTTTACCCCTGGATCAAGCTTGTGTTCAGTGTAGAAACTGGTGTGCAATGTTAGAGCCGATGCAGGAGGACATTAGGAGCTGTTTAACCACATTCTTGCTGATTCTTTGGAAATAGGGTTGAGCATACTGTATGAAAGGAAAAACAATATCTTCTTGCACAAGATTCCAAAAAAAACTATTATTGAATTACTGTTACAAAACATCTGATAGGCCATTGTCAGCCTTTAATTATGTACTTAGAATTATTGTAACCAAATGTGTTTAAAAACACTTAACACTGTATTGTCAGCATAATGAGTCATTATGAGCATTGAATGAGCATTGAATGAGAAAAATTATAATGAGAAATTATATCTGTCGGAGTTGACCCTTCATTTTTCAACTTTTCAATTAAAGAATATGAATAGAAAATTAAAACTCTATGATTGAACCCAACAACAATTAAAACATATGGTATTTGATTTATTTTTTTGTTTTAACAGAATTAAGATAAGATAATTAGGCCCTTGTATTTCAGTTAGTAAGGACTGTATTTGTATTATGGTTTGGTCACTGCAGAGATGTTTTCAAGTCTAAAATAGAATGCCAGAAAAGTACAGTATGTTAGTGTTTCAATTCAAAATGCTTTCCACAATAAATGATCCACTGAAATGCTCTGCATACACTACTTAACCTCTCTCTCATATATATGTTTTGTCCAGGGTTGTGGTAAATACCTTTATACCCATTTTGGAAATATACTGTACATATCTGGTTAACTTTCAAAATCATGTTTCCTCTTTGTATGCTATTGAAAACAAATATATATATATATGAATTGCTCTGAGCTGTTACTCTTGCTAGAAGAGGACTCTAGCCATGGACTCATGATGCAGCTGGTCTGGTTAGCTGTACCTAACCTCAACTAAAAAGATGTTGTTGCTGCATTAAGAGCCTTTAAATTCCTGGCTGTGGAGCTTTCTA